TTCTCCCCCTTCTCCTTCCCCCTCCCTCCCACCAATCTTCCCTTCCTTGTTTAGAATCCCTCCCTCCCCCTTATCTAACACCCCAATCGTCCCCTTCTTCCTACTCCCCCCCCCCCGCCCCGTTTACAATACCCTTCAAACCTTCCCTTTCCAACCTCCAGCTTACGACATTACTCACCCCTAATACCTTTACCCCTCCACCCCTCACTGACCAATCCCACCCCTCCTTTCCCCACCTCCTCCCTTCCCAAACCGATCCCCATCATTTCCTTCCTCCTCCTCCTCCCCCTTTCTTTCTTTCTTTTTCTTTCTTTCTTTCTTTCTTTCCTTTTTTCTTTCTTTCTTTCTTTTCTTTTTTCTTTCTTTCTTTTCTACTACCCTTCCTTCCTCCTTCCTTTCTTCCTACCTACCTTCCTTCCTTCCTTCCTTCCTTCCTTACTTACTTACTTCCTTACTTACCTCTCCTTCCTTCCTTCCTTCCTTCCTTCATTTTCCCCTCCACCCCTCCCTGACAATCCCACCCCACCCTCCCCATCTCCTCCCCTCCCATCTCCTCCCCTCCCCTCTCCTCCCTCCCCTTCCTCCCTTCCCTTTCCCCCCCCCCCTCTTCCTCCCTCCCTCTCCCTTCCTTCCCTCCCCTCCCCCCCCCCTTAAAATCCCCTCCTCAGCGGTCGACGTCACGCGCCGGCTCGACTTCGCCGATGATTTTTTCTTTAAAATTGTCATGATTAAGTGTCGTGTTCCTTTCCCGGCCGGCGAGATTGCTTGCTCCGCCAATTACGCAAGGGGTGGATGGCCAAAGGATTTCTCAAAATGATAATGATCATAATAATTATTATAACTATAATTATAATCATAATTATAATAATCATAAATCATAATAATAAATAATAATAATAATAATAATAATAATAATAATAATAATAATAATAATATAATAATAATAATAATAACAACAATAATAACAACAATAATAACAATAATAACAATAATAACAATAATAACAATAATAATAACATAAACAATAACAATAATAATAAATAATAATAAATAATAATAATAGACAATTAATATACAACACAATAATAAAACCTTAAAGAATAGACGCGAGGGCATATCGGAATGTGTGACTTAACTGAATAATCAAACACACACTTTTCACGATATCGAATCAATGAATCCTTCTATACTTCTTGGTAAATCCGACGTAGGAAAATAAACCCCAAACAGGAATGTATAAAAGAAATGAACAGATAATAACCCTCCTCTTCCCTTTCTCAAAAATGATCTTTCCACTTATCCCTCTCTATCCAACCCCACCCCCACCCCACCCCACACACACACACACCGCGCACCCACCCCACCCCCCCACCCCCACCCCCTAACATACACCCCGCCCCCCCCACCCCCCTCCCTCGCCCCCTAAACCCCCGACGCCAGAGACTGACCAGCTGACGGACTGACATCACAGCTGGAAGAATCGTCCTCCTTCAACAACGACTCCCCCGGCAGGACCTCACGCAGCGGCCTTGAGCTCAT